ACCCTAACCTCCTGCCTCTAGGCCTGCGCTCCTCACTGCTGCTGCTAGCTTTCAGGGAGTCTGGGCCACCTTCACATTCCTGCCTTCAGTGATGCAACGCCTTAGAACATTTCCGGTCCAACCTCTGCTGAAGAGGCCATCTCCTTTCAAAATGCACTTTTGGCCAAGTGTGTAATGTTGAAAGTGCTCTTTAATGGATGTCTAAATACTGGTAAAATAATTATTCCAGGTTATACCACTGAGACGAAGACGAATTGCAGCACCGCGTGTAAATATGCTAACTTCTCTGAAAGAAGACGAATTTGTGTGTGTGAGGAAGATCGTAACTATGTAGAGTTTGCCTGTGGAAGCTGGAAATGAGTTTTGGGTGGATGGAGGTGTAAGGAGCTAAAACTTCTTGTATTTTTAATGTTTTCTAACCTTGAAACAGGTGGGTCTAATTTTTATGTGTTCAGATGGCAGGCTTCAGAATGTTTAAAATGAAGCTTTTCATTTCTTTCCTGTGGCATTGACATTAAAGAAAATTGTTTGCATTTGCCCTATAAAACTTGCTGTTTTATCTTCACTGAGTTGGTAAATACCCAGGCGTGATAGCGGTAGGCTGTGCAGGTGATTTATGGTTTCTCCCAAGATGGAAGCAATCAAAATAGGCCAACATTTTCTGCACGACTCAGTTTCCCAAGGGATAGGCAATGCCACACTTCCACCGCGGAGACCCAAGAGGGACCCAGACCCCAGCAGCCCTTACTCCTACGGGACCGGAACACAGCCGGCCGGCAGGGCCAGATACCCGCCGACTCCTGCTTTAATGACAAGGTGACCAGCCACGGCTCTCGGTGTGTTATTTCTTTTCTGACTCTTGCTGTTCTTCCCTTCCCTAAACCTGCGCCCTTACTCCAGTTGCCTGTAAAAACCTCTCCTAGCTCTTGTAAGTTACAGTAATTCTTGTTGCTAACCACCAGCAAAAGGCTTACTGGCCCGTACGGGGATCGAACCCGCGACCTTGGCGTTATTAGCACCACGCTCTAACCAACTGAGCTAACCGGCCACCTGAGGAGTTTATTTCTGCTGCCGTGTAATGTATAAAGGTTAAGCCACAACCAACCCAAGGAAAGAAGGCAGGACGAGAGGGAGCGGTGGGGCATGGAGGGGACCAAAACAGCACTTGTGTCAAGGCTCATCTCTGGTTGCTGACTCTGAGACCACACGGTGTGCCTACCTAGCACACGCTCACTCAGCAGGGCCGTGCGGCTGGCTCGCCTTTCCATCCCTGTGCAGAGGCACACAGCTCTGGTCGGCGGGGCTGTGTGAGCACACATCAACCTCCTTCGGGGACTTCACCTCCGGGACTCCTCCTACACCCCCACTGAGCTCTTTATTCAAAATCCCAGGCCAGAGAAGTCACCAGCCACTGCTGCCTCCTCTTTCTTCTCCTCCTTCTTCTTTCCTCTTTATCTCCCTTCTTCTTCTTTTTAAAAATCTTTGAGACAGGGGCTCACTATGTAGTTCAGGCTGGCCTTGAACTCACTATGTAGCCCAGGCTGGCCTCGAAGATAAGCGGTGTACAGGGAGGTGGCGGTGTTGTGTCCTGATGAGGCCCAGTGATATCATTTCAGTGATACTCCTGCCTCAGCCTTCCCGGTGCTGGACTACAGGTGTGCGCCACCATGCCTGGCTTCCCAACTCCTTTTATCTCCTCCTAAGGCTACCTTTTTAGATGGTCAGAACAATTAAAGTCTACTCTTTCAGCACATTTTCAGTGCACAACACAATACTATTAACTGTCCTCATCTTTACATTATCTCTTAATTCTACCTGATTGTAATTTGTGCTCTTTGACCTGCTTCACTGCGTTCTTCCCCACTGCTCTGCTAATATTTACTCAACATTTATTTCTAGGTTACACATACAAGTGAGATCACAGAGCACCTTCCCTTCATCTAGTGTATTTCACAGAGCATAACATTCATTAGGGTTTTTGTTTTTCCTGTTGTTGCAAATGGCAGTATCTGCTTTGTAAAGGCCACATCACAGTTTCTTTATTTGTTGAAGAATCTTAGGCTGTTTCCATACCTCGGCTATGGTGAGGAACAGCGCAATAACTACGGAGCGCAGATTGTCTCTACGGAGTGCTGATTTTAGTTGTGTCAGTGCTCAGCAAAAGACCTGGGCTGGGTGGCTGGACTTGTGCTTCTGATCTTCCCTACTGTGCTCTCCAACGGCTGTGCCAACCGACATGCTCCAACAATGTTCTCCTTTTTCTCCGCACCCACGGCAGCACTTGTTGAATCTTGCATTTTTGGGTCGCAGCCATCTCAACAGGATGTGGGTCTGATGGACCCAATTTCTCTGACTGGTGATGCTGGCAACTTCTCAGGTACCTGCTGGCCATTTAGATGCCTCCTCTGGAAAAATGTCTATTCAGGTCCTTGCTTACGTTTAAACTGGGTTATACAGTTTACTTTTGATACTAATTGTATGAGTTTCTTGCGTTTTATAAATCAACCCTTTACCCGAGACATGGTTTGCAAACGTTTTCCCGAGGCACAGGCTGTCTTTTCATTGTGCGGTCTCCTGTGTTGTGCAGGAACGTTTGGTGGAGTCTCACTTGTCTGGTTTTTGCTTCTAAGCCTGCTGTATGTCTGCCCATGCCTGAAGTGGTAGTTTCAGGATTTTATCCAGTTCCACAGTTACTTTTTGGCAATGGATTTGTTGGCTTCCTCCCGCTGGCAAGCCAGAGGGGGTCCCCATGAGACACTAATTTGCCTCTACTTGACCTTGGTATAAACAGAACAGACCGCGTCTGTGCCTGGCTTCTTTTGCTCAACACAATAATTTGGAAATTTATCTGACTTTGCAATTACCAGTGATTCACTTTATGTTACTGCTAAGCAGCATTTATTTTACAACTGTACCACACCTTCGTTTCCCATTTATCTGCGTATGATAGATGCATGGCTTTATTATCTCGGGAGATCGTCTAGGATAAGGCATGCTGGTTGCAGGTACAGAAGGCAGCCTGCAAACTGACCCAGGAAGTACAGAGAGGAGTAACAGAGAAAAAGACAAATTTCCAAGCAAGGGGGACAACGGAACTCAAGTGGACAAGACCGTGGGAGGCTGGAAAGTCCCGTTGGTGAGCCTGGGCCTTCAGGCTTGGGTGCCAGGCCCCAGACGCAGATGCGTGCTGCTGGGGATGGGGTATCTGGACTCAGACACTCCCCAGGCACAGCGGGCAGGACGGAAGCTCTGCTCAGTAGAAGGCGGAGCTGTGTGAGACACGTTGGGCCTCATCAGGACACAACACCGCCACCTCCCTGTACGCCGCTTATCTTCATTAATTCAAACATTTTCTGTATTGTAGACATCACCCATCGTGAAAATACTAAGCAGGTAAACCACAAATCTACCAACTCCTCGGTCCTGCCTACGTTTGAAGGTCTTTAGCCCAGCAACCTGACAAGCGCATGGAGAAGCTTCTATGCGCACTGCATGGTGTGAAGCGGGGATGCCTGTGCAGTGTGTACCCAACGGCCCTCTCCCCCTTTCACGCTAGTACAGGGGGCTGAACCAGGCTGAGATATGAAAGAGGTAATTTCAGACAGTGCCTATAAAAAACTACACGACGGGCATGGCAGCCGTCAGGGCAGGCCTCTAGAGCAGGTGACACTGAGTCCGGCTGAGCGTCCTGGAGGACGCAGGCCCTGGAAGGTCATGAGGGGGATAGCCTTCTAGGGAGCGGGGACAGCTAATGCTCGGTGGGAGCAGCTGTTGACTTTTGATCATGGCCAAACAAGGCCATGTGGGTAAGCGGCAGGGTGCAGGTGGCAGGAGGGAGGGATGGGCCGTGGCTCAGAGGAACGCTAGACAGCCAAAGCGTTTGGGGCCTGTAGCCCTGGGTGTGGGGCAGGTGTTACGGAGTTGTGTGCAAGGGATGTGAGCACGGGACAGTCTGTCTGACTCATCTACGGAAGAGTCACCATGGCTGCCAACGACAGAATGGACGACCAGGACCAAGCACAGAGCAGGAGCATCGGAAGGAAGCACATCAAAGCTTCCCATCCTTTTCTGTACGGGTGCGGACGGAGAGCAGGGCGCTCTGCAGCGGGGCTGTGGATGAAAGTCGCGGCTGCTCAGCCACCTGCAAACACCAGGCCCTGAGCCCGCCTCAGGCTCACAGTGGGTCCCAAACGTTGGGACAATCCATGCCTCACCCGCCTGAGAGCTCAGTGCACAGGTGGGGGACACTGAGCATGCCAGGCCTAGCGCCAAACTCAAACCCAGCCAGACATCAAGCCGAAAAAACGTCTGCAAAACAGGCAAGAGACGGAGTCTGGGAAACCAGGAGGGAAACTGGGAGTGAAGCGCTGTGGTTGGACACAACCACTTTGCTTCTCAGCGCGCACACGCGTGGAGCCCTCGCCAGGTGTCTGCCCCTTGTTCTTGGATGCCCTGGCCGCTGCGCCATGGCCAGGTGCATTTCTGTGCCGCAGTTTCCCCAGCCGGGGTCCTGCTACAGCTGCACAAAATGGGCAGAGTAAGCAAAGGGATGAGAAGAGAGGATGGGAGAGGCTGCAGGGAGGGAGACTGCGGGAAAGAGCAACGCCAGCCACCGGGAGAAGTCCGAGTCAGAAGGCGAGGGCGGGGGCCGAGGCCGAGCAGACTGGCGGGAAAAGGGACAGAGACGCACACTCAGGCAGAGACAGAAACAGCAGTTCACAGAGAAACAGGGGCTGGAAAGACAAATAATGACAGAGGCAGCAAACCAAGACAACCAAGACTAAAGTGCAGAGGAAGAGCCTGCAGGCAGTGAGGATGGCTGGGCCAGGTCTGAGCTCTCAGAGGTGCCCAGAGGCGCCCAGCCTGGAGCGGAGCCTGGAGTCCCAGTGGAAGTGGCTGGCGAGGGCGCCAGTGCCAGAAGGCATGTGCCCTGCACATTTCACATGGAACGTCCAGCATCCTTGACTCAGTGACCACCAGTGTCCACGCCCTCTTTTCCACAACGTGGTACCTTTACTTGGGAGCCGGGGGACTGCGGACACGTGGGTACATGTGGGTCAGGGGCTCAACCCCGGGCCCCGGGGGTTTCTCCTTCAAACGAGGAGCCTCCTGTTGGCCTTTGTATGAGGGAGGGGTTCGCGGTGGCTCAGGCCGGGCCTCCCAGCTGGCGCTCCTCCTTCGCCTGCCCAAGCCAGGTCTGCAGCTGCCGCAAGATGCTCTGTGCAGTGAGGACAATCAGGAGTCAGCCCCACTTGGGGAACGAAGACCCGAGAAGCGGGTGGAACTGGGCCTCTCCCTCACCTGGCGCCCGCGGCGGAGGCTGGCAGGGTCCGAGGGCCTCTCAGGGGCCATGTCCGCGCAGTGGGAGGCCCCGGGGATGAGCAGGGCTGCCTCTGAGGGGCCAGAGGCCTGTGTGACACTCAGCACTTGCCAGGGGTCTGTGTCTCCTGCGGGCAGGGACGTGAGTTGGGCTGGGCTCGGGGAAGCCAGCAGCCGGTTTGAGGGTGGTGCTCACCATTGACAAACAGCACTCGGGTAGCTCCTGGGGCCTGGCCCCCATAATAGGAGTTTGTCTGGGCCACGGCGCGGGCTACGGATGAGGCCGAGAGCCCGAACACCTGCTCACACAGCTCCAGGTGCGAGGGCAGTGCTGGGAGCTGCGGGAAAGGACACCCAGGGTCCTCGCAGGTGACATCTGTGGAGAGACAGGCCTGTGAGTGAGGACACAGGAGCCAGCCCACGCTGTCCTCCGCAGTGATGAGCTCGATGACCGCACAGCATTGTCAGCGAGACCCTGACGTCCCCAGAGACAGCCGGCCAGGGGTTAGGGCTGTGATAAACAGGCCAGGATGTGGGGAGTCCAGGGGGAGTGAGATGGGCTCAGGGCAGCGTCAGGAGACCCAGACCAGCAGTGGGAAGAGCGCCCACTGCAGACAGAGGGAGGGGATGCATGGAGATCTGGAGGCAGGAGGGTGGCATCTGGAGTGACATTGCTCCCTTGGGACACTGCCTGCTACAGTCACAGCTCCCTGTGCTCTCAGGGCAAGCCCAGCCCCCACCCTCACACTAACCCTTCTTCCTGTACCACATATGGCACACGGATGGTATGTGCAGGTGCCGGCACACAGCGGCAACCCGAGTCACAGGCTGCACTGCCACGGGACGCAGGGAAACTGGGACAGGCAGTCAACAGGCCTGCCGTGCTTGGGAAGGGGAGGCCTGAAGCCCTGCCTGGGGTCCCGGGGGCGAAGGGAGGGTTGGGGTTTTGGGGTCTTGTGAGGAGGAGCAAATGGTGGCATGACAGAGCAAGGTGACTCCAAGCCCGCAACCACATGTGCAGTGTCCTCTGCCGCTGGGGGAACATTGTGCTGAGAAGGCCAAAACGCATATGGCCCTGCCGCAAGGACGGCAAGCACTTATGCAGCACCTACTGTGTACCACTTATTCTTACCAGGCTACATCTGTTACCTCCTTTAATCCTCCAGACCGTCCTGGGAAGGAAGTTCTGTTCTATTCCCATTTCCAGATGCGGAAACCCAGGCATAGGGAGGGAACTCACTCGCCCAAGGTTGCCGGAGATCACATGGGGTAGGACACGGAGCAGGAATGGGAACGTTTTTACTGGAAAGCACTAGCCTAAGAGTGTCCCGAGACACGGAAAGGACTGTGAACTTAACTGTGGGGTAGGAGGGCCCAATGGAACAAATAGGACACCTACATTCAGGCAGACAAGCCACTGAATGCACACAATCTTTGGGACACCTGTATACGAACACTGGGTGTTCTGAAATTCAAACCTAGCTGTGCACCCTGCATTTTGTCTGGTCACCCCACCCTCGGGTCACCGAGAAGGCAAGGGGGTATTCTGAGCCAAGAAGGAGCAAGGTCACCTCTGGGTGCTGTGTGGAAGGGGGTCCTGCGGGAGAAGCGGCCCGTGGAGACCGAGGAGGAGGCAGAGGGAAGAAAAAAGGAAAGGGGGTGGGCTGCACTCGTCCTCCCGCAGAGGGGCAGGACCCGGACGGACTTTGTGGATAAGGTGAGGAGGCCTCTAAAGTGAGGGAGACGGTGCAGACACACCTGCAGGACCCACAGGAAGCCCTCTCGTGAGCACACTTGTGTGAGCACACTCGCATGGCTGCCCACCCTCGCCAGCCCAGCATGGGTGGGTCACAGGAGTCAGGGTCACCGTCCCGAGCAAGGAGGAGGAGCCCAGGCCACCTGTCAGGTGTCTTCCCTGGTGTGCCTGGGTGAGGGTGAGGCCAGTCACTCACAGAAGCCAAACTCCGTACACGTCTGGTACAACCACTGCCGGTCACCCACGCCGGACTCCTGGGGCTCTGTGGCTTTCAGCTGTGTGACGGTCTGTGCTCTCGAGGAGCTGAGACACCTCTGTCCCAGGCTGTGCATGACGACCTGGGAACCAGGAGCAGGCACATGCACGCCTGCGCTCCACCGAGCCCTGTCCAGGGGCCCTGGCCCCAGCCCCTGGAAGCCAGGGTGAGGGGAGTCTCTGAGCCAAGTCAGTGGTCAGACAGGGTGTCTGTCAGGCCCTCCACGGGTGGGACTTTGCCACCTGCCAGCCCTTGAGCCAGGCATGATCGTGGACTCCGCTTCCTCTTCTGTACTAGGGGGAATGTTAGCCCCTATCTCCCGGGAATCAAGTGACCTAACGTGCAGTGTCTCTAACCGCCCATAGTCTAGGTATGGCTGGACAGTGACAGCTGGATTGTGACCGTGGGCTCAAAGGCCACGCCGGTTCCTGGGTGAACCGTGTTCCGAGGCTGCATTTTTTCATTCATTCTTTACTACGTGAGGTCTTGCTGTGCGTGGACACTGCTGCAGGCCCAGAAGAGAATGGACAAAAAAGGTAGCATAGGTACCACCATTAATGTCTAAGGCTGGCATACTTCGTGCCAAGAACCTCATCCCTGAGGGCGTCGTGCCTATTTTACAGACAGGGAAACTGAGGCTTGGAAGGGATACTCGCTCGCCTAAACTCACCCAGTGGAGGAAGTGGACAAGAACCCTGGTGATGTGTGGGTGTGCGTAGAGTGTGTGCATGTGCATGCGGGTGCAGTGTGCTCACCTGCGCCGCGAGTCGCAGCCCGAGGTATGCCTCTGGGTGGCTGCCGTTGCGCGCGCCCTGGAGCAGGAGTCCGCAGAGCTGGTGCACGCCGAGCGGCGCCCCCGTCTGCCCGTCGTATTGTACCGCGCTGCCGACCAAGGCCTGCAGCGCCTCCAGCAGCTCCGCGCGGTCCTCGGCGCGCGACAGAGACCCGCAGGCGCCCAGCTCGGTGCGCAGCGCC